TTTCGAAAAAAAAACAAACTTTTAGCAAATTTCCCTTTCAAATCACTAACAAAATCTTTAGAGATATCCATTCGATCGACAAGTTTGTCACCTCGATTTCGCTTCCTACTCTTTCACTGAAAAGGACATCAGTCAGTTTAAATTACTCTTAAATAAACGGTTTTCAAAATGCTACCGTAAAAAACGGCAACTTTCCGCCATTTAACACTACATTAAGCACTTAAATCTAACTCGAAACTTTAGTCTACAAATGGAAAAAGGATAATCCCGTTCAAATCAAAGCTGGGCTCACGGTGAGAGTGATTAAACCAACCCTGTACTTGATTAAAAAAAAATGAGAAAGTTCAGGAAAATATCCCGAACTTCTTGTTGGAACCGGTGGAAACGGAGAATTGTAGAAGTTCGACGAATAGTGGAACCTACAGTTGTCTACGAGTGAAAATCCCGTTGAAGAGAATCTCGTGGTAAAGAAAAGCTGATGTTTAAATTGCAAAACTAGTAAAAATCTGGGATTTTCTCGAAAACTGGCAGAATTGATTTAAAAAGGTCAAAAATTAGAGCCAAGGGAAGTCAAGGGAAGTAAAGGGAAGCCAAGGGAAGTAAAGGGAAGCCAAGGGAAGTAAAGGAAAGCCAAGGGAAGCCAGGGAAGTCATAGGAAGTCAAGGGAAGTCAAGGGAAGTAAAGGAAAGTCTAGGGAAGTCTAGGGAAGCCAAGGGAAGCCAGGGAAGTCATAGGAAGTCAAGGGAAGTCAAGGGAAGTCAAGGGAAGTCAAGGGAAGTAAAGGAAAGTCTAGGGAAGCCAAGGGAAGCCAGGGAAGTCATAGGAAGTCAAGGGAAGTCAAGGGAAGTCAAGGGAAGTCAAGGGAAGTAAAGGAAAGTCTAGGGAAGCCAAGGGAAGCCAGGGAAGTCATAGGAAGTCAAGGGAAGTCAAGGGAAGTCAAGGGAAGTAAAGGAAAGTCTAGGGAAGCCAAGGGAAGCCAGGGAAGTCATAGGAAGTCAAGGGAAGTCAAGGGAAGTAAAGGAAAGTCTAGGGAAGTCTAGGGAAGCCAAGGGAAGCCAGGGAAGTCATAGGAAGTCAAGGGAAGTCAAGGGAATTCAAGGGAAGTAAAGGAAAGTCTAGGGAAGTCTAGGGAAGCCAAGGGAAGCCAGGGAAGTCATAGGAAGTCAAGGGAAGTCAAGGGAAGTAAAGGAAAGTCTAGGGAAGTCTAGGGAAGCCAAGGGAAGCTAAGGGAAGTCAAAGGAAACCAAGGGAAGTAAAGGGAAGTCAAGGGAAGTAAAGGGAAGTCAAGGGAAGCCAAGGAAAGCCAAGGGAAGTCATCGGAAGTCAAGGGAAGTCTAGGGAAGCCAAGGTAAGTCAAGGGAAGTCAAGGGAACTCAAAGGAAGTCAAGGGAAGTCAAGGGAAGTCAAAGGAAGTCATGGGAAACCAAGGGAAGCTAAGGGAAGCCAAGGAAAACCAAGGCAAGGCAAGCCAACGCCAAAACTTTGGGTTCTAACAATTCTTAATCAAAAGCTACAATTCCAGAATCATTATCAACCATTCTTCATTCAAAATCAGTCTCATTTTCAGCTCCGAGCTCTTGCAACTCTACATCCCATCAACTATGCTCGTCATTTGCTCCTGGGCTGCTTTCTTCTTCAACAAGTGAGTATTTTGGTAGCGTACAAGATCCTGGATCTCAGGTTCATATTATTAGATCGATCTGGTTATCTGGATAGTCCTGATCTAGCTATTCTAACCAATGTATCACTAGATCCGGCATTAGTTCGGATGTCAGCCTTAGTCCCAAACATATTTTAGACGTTTTCTCAGCGCTAAAACGACAATCGTGATGCTTGTTCTTGTTTCAATGATTCTTTTGGTATAAAGTTTCTAAAAATCTTCTAAATTAAAGGCTTTTAGTCCTCATTTGAGAATCAGAGAGCGCCAGCTACAGCTTACAACAAATGTGAGTTTAGAAGAAAGTTTTTACGAGCTTGAGGCTCCTAGACGAGCTTGAGGCTCTGAGACGAGCTTGAGGCTCCTAGATGAGCTTGAGGCTCCTAGAGGAGGCTCCTAGATGAGCTCCTGGACGAGCTTGAGGCTCCTAGATGAGCTCCTGGGCGAGCTTGAGGCTCCTAGATGAGCTCCTGGGCGAGCTTGAGGCTCCTAGACGAGCTTGAGGCTCTGAGACGAGCTTGAGGCTCCTAGATGAGCCCCTGGACGAGCTTGAGGCTCCTAGATGAGCTCCTGGACGAGCTTGAGGCTCCTAGATGAGCTCCTGGACGAGCTTGAGGCTCCTAGTCGAGCTCCTGGACGAGCTTGAGGCTCCTAGATGAGCTCCTGGACGAGCTTGAGGCTCCTAGATGAGCTCCTGGACGAGCTTGAGGCTCCTAGATGAGCTCCTGGGCGAGCTTGAGGCTCCTAGATGAGCTCCTGGGCGAGCTTGAGGCTCCTAGTCGAGCTCCTGGACGAGCTTGAGGCTCCTAGATGAGCCCCTGGACGAGCTTGAGGCTCCTAGATGAGCCCCTGGACGAGCTTGAGGCTCCTAGATGAGCTCCTGGACGAGCTTGAGGCTCCTAGATGAGCTCCTGGGCGAGCTTGAAGAGATTTTAACTGACTTTACAAGTACAATAGATTACAATAATCCTGTTTTAAAGCCCAGACAAAGTTGAGTATTGATTAAATTCAGCAATTGATTGCTGGATTGGTGTTTGTTTCCTCTTCGTTTTCATGGCTCTCGTTGAAGTGGCTGCTGTGGCGTTTTTTGAGCAAACAAGTAATGAAAAAAACCCTTAATCAAATCTAAAATCAAATCAAATCAAACAATTTAGAATGCTGTGAACAAGGAAATCGGGGAAATGAGGTAAATTTTGAAGGTTAAAGTCTCACAAAAGCTAAAACAGCTTTCAAATCGACTTTTCAAATGAAGTACAATATCGTAAGATTTTTAAGCGAGCTTATAGCTATCTTAAAGCTGTCTTAAAGCTACCTTAGAACTATCTAAGCTTTATAAATAAGCTGTATAACTCTAGATTACTCAAAAGAATGAGTATGAGGCTTTGGTTCCAAGCCAAGTCGAGTCAAATCGTCATTTTGATCTTCGTCAAAAATGGAAAAATGATCCAGCTGATGCTATCGATTTTTTCTCAAGTAAGTCTCCAGAAATTGCATTTTCCATCTCCATTTTCCAACTATTGCTATTCTACAGTAATCCAGTAAACTAGTAGACTAATTGTAAGCAGTCTAGCTTCATCTAGAGCTTTGATTAGCTTAAATCTGGTTCAAGTAGGTCAAGAAATGGTTTAATCAGACTTTCTAAACCTTTTGAACTAGAATCTAGCCCATTCCAGAGCTAGTTTTATAAATTTGATGGTTCTTTCCTTGAATCGTGGTCTTTTAAAAGTTCCATAGTCTTTTAAATGTTTCGGAGTACTGAAGGACTTCAGGAGTCCTTCAGGAGTCCTTCAGTAGTTTCGTGGTCTTGCCCATTTAATCAGAATTTAAAGAACAATCGTAAGAACAACATCCCAGCAAGGCTTTGCACGCTTTGCCTTTCCTCGGACGCGCAAATGTTGGTCAAGCTGACTTTCACATACAGCCAAGACAGATTTCCTTGCCAACTTGACGGCTGGCCTTCACATACAACGGCAAGCTGACCTTCACATACAACCACTCAGACTTCCTTGCCAACTTGACGATATCCTGTTGAGACAACGAGAAATTCTGTCTTATGTCGCCTAGCGTCGGCCTCCAGAAATGGCCACGGCACAAACGAGAGGCTTTCTCTTTGTGAGTGGATGTTTGTCGTGTTTCCAGCCATCGAGTTACAAGTCTCGCATCTTTTAATTGCCTGATGTTTGATCTTCCTTTTAAGCCTGTTCAATTCAAGCCTATAGAGGTAGAACGAGATCGTTATCGGCTCGTCCATCTCGTCATTAGTGTTTCCATTATTGCCGGTAGTTCCTTGGTGATGACGGCGATTTGTGACTCGACGCCTGTTCGCCAATCGACGGATAGCTGGCTCTCAGCTCAGCAAAGCACAAATCATCACATGCTTCTGCTTCCGTGCATTTGGAACTTAATAAAAGTTTCAAAAGTTTTAAAACAGTTTCAAAAGGCTTTTTGGTAAAAAAACGAAAAATTGCAAAAGATCACGATACTTTTAAAAGACCATGGAACTTTTAAAGGACTACAAAACCTTTAAAAGACCACGGAACTTTTAAGAGACTATCAAACTTTTAAAAGACCACGATACTTTTAAAAGACCATGGAACTTTTAAAAGACCATGGAACTTTTAAAAGACCATGGAACTTTTAAGAGACTATCAAACTTTTAAGAGACTATCAAACTTTTAAGAGACTATCAAACTTTTAAAAGACCATGGAACTTTTAAAAGACCATGGAACTTTTAAGAGACTATCAAACTTTTAAAAGACCATGGAACTTTTAAAAGACCATGGAACTTTTAAGAGACTATCAAACTTTTAAGAGACTATCAAACTTTTAAGAGACTATCAAACTTTTAAAAGACCATCAAACCTTTAAAAGAGCATCAAACCTTTAAAAGACCATCAAACTTTTAAAAGACCATCAAACTTTTAAGAGACTACAAAACCTTTAAAAGACCATGGAACTTTTAAAAGATCACGAAGCTTTTAAAAGACCATGGAACCTTTAAAAGACCATCAAACCTTTAAAAGAGCAACAAACTTTGAAAAGACCATGATTCAGGGAAAGAGTCAATTTTATAAATATAAATAGCTTGAATTTCATCAAATGAATTTCATCAAATCAAAATTTCATCATCAATTTGATCAGATTAATGAATTTGATCAAATCAAAATCATTAACATCATTCATCAAATTAACAAGAAATCGTTGAATTTTGAGTAAAATTTCCATTCAAAAGCAATTCTAGGAATCGTTTTCCCATCCGCTTTCTTTCTCTACATTATCGTTTACGCAATTTGCGTGATTGCCAGGAAATGAAACGAATTTCTTTTTTGAAACAAACATCTACATATTCTTCATTTTTATGTGATTTATGTCAATTTCTAATCTTACCTTAATATCCGCATCAGTAATCACTTCTCGAAAATCCAATGGCGCCACTTGTGACCAGAAATTGAATGCTTCTTTTGTAGCTTTTCTAGAAAAACAAACGATTTTATAAATTCTCTATTAATAAATGTTAAAATGTTAAAATTTTTTGAATCAAAAGGATTTTAAAGGTTTGTTTTTGTTGTAGATTTTACCGAATTATTTCTTTTGAGAGATCTGGCGAATAATCGTCGATCGACCACGTCAACTCACGTTTATGCCATTTTATTGAAGCTTCTGAATTTGAAAATTGAATATGCTTTTCGAGATATTCAGCTCTAGATATTCTGAGAACATTTAAATAATCTCAGCTTTGAGAAAATGACTCAATCTATACTAAATTTATATTTAACTAAGGCTAATAAACTCTAGACTGTTCAAGGGAAAGTGACAAGTAAACACTTGTCATTTTCCCTTGAACAGTCTAGATTTGGTCAACTGAAACTGGAGATGGTCTTGGGTTTAGTTTTGTTAGATTTAAGCTATAAAAAGTCTCTGAAGTACGACTGAAGGACTCTTGAAGGACTCTTGAAGGACTCTTGAAGGACTCTTGAAGGACCCTTGAAGGACTTCTGAAGGACTACTGAAGGATTGCTGAAGTACTCCTGAAGGACTTCTGAAGGACTTCTGAAGGACTCTTGAAGGACCCTTGAAGGACTTCTGAAGGACTACTGAAGGACTCCTGAAGTACTCCTGAAGGACTCTTGAAGAACTCTTGAAGGACTCCTGAAGGACTCCTGAAGGATTGCTGAAGGACTGCTGAAGGACTACTGAAGGACTCCTTAAGGATTGCTGAAGGACTGCTGAAGGACTCTTGAAGGGCTTCTGAAGGACTTCTGAAGGACTCTTGAAGGACCCTCGAAGGACTTCTGAAGGACTTCTGAAGGACTACTGAAGGACTGCTGAAGGACTCTTGAAGGGCTTCTGAAGGACTCTTGAAGGACCCTTGAAGGACTTCTGAAGGACTACTGAAAGACTCCTGAAGTACTCCTGAAGGACTCTTGAAGGACTCTTGAAGGATTGCTGAAAGACTCCTGAAGGACTCTTGAAGGGCTCCTGAAGGACTTCTGAAGTCAGGGTACTTCTAAGAAACTTAGGACTTGAAAGCCTAGCCTAGTTTACATCATAAATTGTAATAATTCATTTGGCAAAGCTTTTAAGCCTACTAAAACTACTAAAACCCCCAAATTTGAGCTTGAGTCTTGTAAAATTGATTTTTCTACCAACTTCCGTATGAGAGCGCCGCCACGTCGGGCACACCGCATCTCGGTTTCGCCATTTTCTCCTTTGTCGCCTCATCAATGACACCAGTTTCAGGAATGTCAGCGATTCTTTGAAATCTTCTAAAAACAGCTACAATTCAGCTAAAATCAGCTAAAAGATTCAAAGCTCAAACCGAATAGCTTCACGAAGCTTTTCTTGAGCCGTGTCCATTTCTGGAGCTCCATAGCCGGCTGTCATCAAATTCGCTGGAGGTAAATATCCGAATTGGTGAAGGTATTTCTAAAGTTTTGAGTTTTAGAGCTCTCAGTGAACTAGAAAAGTTGGGTTTTGAGTTTAAAGTACGATTCACATACGATCGAATCATTCCCATTCCATTCTCGTTTCAGTCTTGACTTCGTTGTAATGCCCAGAGTGACAGTTTGACTCAAACTATTTTCAGAGGCCACCGGAGCACCTAGAACCAAGGAATTGGGAGATTTTTGAGACAGTTAAGGCCCAAGTCAGCGACTAAACAAATCTATCAGTATCTTGGCCTTGGCTTCTTGGCCTTGGCTTCTTGGCCTTGGCTTCTTGGCCTTGGCTTCTCGGCCTTGGCTTCTCGGCCTTGGCTTCTTGGCCTTGGCTTCTTGGCCTTGGCTTCTTGGCCTTGGCTTCTTGGCCTTGGCTTCTTGGCCTTGTTTTGGCCTTGTTTTGGCCTTGGCTTGGCCTTTCCTTCATCTTCTATGGTTGGACCTAATACTAAAAACTCACCAAAAGTATAACTAAATAAAAAGACGAAGAATAAGTAGAATAACATATTTGATCAAGAAATAGATTAAGTTCTCATCTGTAAAAGCTTTAAAATCAATTCCCAACTCAACAAGGATCTTTTCCGTGTTTTTTTCTGTTTCAACTCGTGATCCATTGCCTCTTTTTTGAAATGAGATGAGAATTAGTGTAAAATGGACAACAAAGAGAAAGAAATTGGGCTAAAGATCCGGCTGTGATTTGGTCAATCACAGAAAAACAATGAGTCACTTTGTAGCAATGAGCTTTTCTTGCTCTAGCTTCGTTTTATGACTCAACTAAAGTTTTCTCGGTTTTCTAAAAGGCTAAAGCAGCCAGTTTTCATTCGATTAGGCCAATCTGGAATGCACAAGGCTTAATGACATTGAAATTAAGGCAATCGGATAGAAACTGGCGGTGTAGATTACGGTAGTTGTTCTGGAATAGGTGCATTTTAGAAAACTATCGTAATCTGGCCGCTAGTTTTCATTTGATTAGTCCAATCTGGAATGCACAAGGCCTAATGGCATTGAAATTGGGTTGATCAGTTAGAAACTGGCGGTATCGGTTACAGTAGTTTTCTGGAATAGGTGTGTTTTAGACAACTACCGTAATCTGGCCGCCAGTTCTCATTCGATTAGTCCAATCTGGAATGCACAAGGCTTAATGACATTAAAATCGGGCGGATCAGATAGAAATCATGCCTTGCATAGATTGTTCTCAATGCAAATTTCTCTTCTATTTGTAAATTTGCATTAAGAGCGGTTTGTTGAATGTAAATGTGCTTTTTTTCTTGCACTGTATAAATTTCGAAGTACAAATTTCACTGTTCATTGTATTTTTTCGAAAAATCAGAGGTTACAATACACCAAAGTTACATCAAAATCATTAAAATAATCAAATTTTGACTGAAATCTTTCATCAATCACTGATACGAACATTTTTATCGGACAATCCTTTAAAGTGCGGTCCTTTCGTTGTCGCTCCGCCTTCATACTCCATTTCATCAGCCGCTGGCGGGTTCACATCATTGCCAACCTGCAAAAAGATACGAATTGACCGTCTTATATATGAATTGGTCGTCTTATATACGAATTGGTCGTCTTATATATGAATTGGCCGTCTTATATACATATTGGCCGTCTTATAGACAAATTGACCGCCTTATATACGTATTGACCGTCTTATATACGAATTGGTCGTCTTATATATGAGTTGGCCGTCTTATAGACAAATTGACCGCCTTATATACGAATTGGCCGTCTTATATACGAATTGGTCGCCTTATATACGTATTGACCGTCTTATATATGCATTGGCCGTCTTATATATGAATTGGCCGTCTTATAGACAAATTGACCGCCTTATATACGAATTGGCCGTCTTATATACGAATTGACCGTCTTATATATGAATTGGCCGTCTTATAGACAAATTGACCGCCTTATATACGAATTGGCCGTCTTATAGACAAATTGACCGCCTTATATACGAATTGGCCGTCTTATATACGAATTGACCGTCTTATATACATATTGGCCGTCTTATAGACAAATTGACCGCCTTATATACGTATTGACCGTCTTATATACGAATTGGTCGTCTTATATATGAATTGGCCGTCTTATAGACAAATCGACCGTCTTATATATGAGTTGGCCGTCTTATATACGAATTGGTCGTCTTATATACGTATTGACAGCATTGAACAATTGAATTTACATTTTAAGATAGTAATTTAAGATAAAATTAAGATAAAATCGTCTAAACTACGTCTTAAACATAAGATTACGGTAGAAAAAGAAAAAAAGACGATTTAAAGACGTACAACATGTGGCAAATTTAAATCATCTTTGTTAGCAACTCGAGCAGCATCACGTGGTTCCGCTTTGCCTTGAAGTACCTTAAAAAATCAATTAAATCGATCATAACTACATTTAACTACATTTAGACCGTCCAAGTACTTCAGGAAGGGTTCGTTTACGAGTGAGCACAAAGTACAAATCAGCAAATCACAAAGCAAACCTGTTTTTTCTCGTCAAAGTCACAATTCAGACTTGGATCAAAGCGATCGGCCATTTTTCTGAAGAAATTCGAAATATAATTAAATAAAATCTGCGATCTGGATGTCACAGAAGCTAATGGAATTGAAAAAATCGGGAAATTAAATAAATAAAAAATTTTTTCAAAATATCGTCTAAAACTGCTTTAAATATATAAAAATCAACTTTAATTGTTAGTTTTCAAATTAAATACGAAAATAACAGTTTAAATTTCTGTTTTCCTTATATATTTCGCAAAATTTGCACAGAGAAAATAGAGAAAAAAGAGAAAAAAGTGAAAAAAAAGTGTTTTTTTGGGAAAAAATCGTAAACAAAAGTGCATTTTAAGCAAAAAAATTTCAAATTTCAATTGTTTTTCAGAATTTCCTTTTCAAAATTGAAGCTTTCTTTTGAATTTTGAGATTTTTAACGAAATCTATTGTTTTCTAGAGAAAATGCCGACTGTTTTGAGCAAAAAGGAGTGCCCGGAGGGAACTGAACCGCAAAAATCCGATCAGGTGAACAAATTTTCGGTTTAGAATTTTCCTTTGTGCTCTAGATTGTAAAAAAAAAACCTTTCTGGAATACACGGAATTCTTACGCGAAAACCTGGCTCAGTTTCCCGACTTGACGACTTGATGACAGCTCTCAATCAGCTGACGACAGCTCTCAATCAGCTGATGACAGCTCTCAATCAGCTGACGATCAGCTCTCAATCAGCTGACGATCAGCTCTCAATCAGCTGACGATCAGCTGACGATCAGCTCTCAATCAGCTAACGACAGCTCTCAATCAGCTGACGATCAGCTGACGATCAGCTCTCAATCAGCTAACGACAGCTCTCAATCAGCTAACGACAGCTCTCAATCAGCTGACGATCAGCTGATTCAGAGCTGATCGATTAAAAATTCGGTAACTGATCCGGTTTTCTGGTAATTGTAAAGTGAGACTAGACCTTGTAACTCTCATTTACAATCTCAAAGTGATTCTAACTGTCGAGGTGGTTCAGAATAAAGTCGAATGCACGAAAGATGAGGTGCAAGCGGTGGAGCCGGGCGCAGTTCATGGATGGTTGATCACTGATAGAGATGAGCAGCCGATTGTGAGTCATTGAATAGAATATGTGATAGAATACGATAATACAGTGTGTTGCTCACGAGTAATGCGTTTTTTGACCGTCTTATATGCGGCCTCTATAAAGCGCTCGCTTATGTACCGCATTGTCTAAAGCGCCGTCTTATATACGAATTGGCCGCCTTATGCACTAATTGGCCGCCTTATATATGAATTGACCGCCTTATATACGAAATGACTGCCTTATATACGCCGTATATAAAGTTACGCCTTATATACGAATTGGTCGCCTTATATACACCTTGTATAAAGCGCCGCCTTTTTTAGCAGACCGACTAGACGGATTGACCTTTCCTTCAACGGTGACTGGACCCTAGCTTCGCCTAAATTAGTTCTGAGCTGAGCCTGAGCCAGCCTGGAGTCTGAAAGGGATTTTAAAATGCAATAAATCACACTCGCACTAAGCATTTCATCTTAATCCATTTCTAGATCGGTCGCGAGAAATCGACTGGCGACGAAGTGGCCCAGGATTCGAAAGGGAATTTTCACAATGCGAAAACCGGTGAATGTGTGCGAAAAGAGGACATTTGTTCTTATGATTGAGGCAAAAATTAAATGTAAATTCATGTAAATTCAATGTTAATTTATGTAAATTCATTTAAATTCATTTAAATTCATCCAAATTCATCTAAATTCATCTAAATTCATCTAAATTCATCTAAATTCACCATTTTCTCTCAATAATCGCCTGTTTTTTATAAAGATTTCTTTGTAAAATTCATTTTTTTATGTAAATAACTGAATATTCTTTCTTCGGCATAAATTTTTATTTGAAAAAACGAGAAAAATCGACGTCTTTGCTCACTTTTTAGTTATTAGATTGGAAAGAAAATTCTCGGAAAGTTCTCGAAAAAGATTTGCATGGTAATTCCTCAAAAATCAAGTCATCAATTCTTTCAAAACCTTATGATAAACTATATTTTAAAGTTTTGACAAAAAAAAACAGAGTAGATTTCAAGGAAATAAATGAGAGATTTCCTCATTTTTTCTAAGAGATTTCTTTCTGAGAGATTTCTAAATAAACCGTATTGGAACAGCATTGGATCTAAAAAGAGCCGTATTGGAACCGTATTGGGTCTAAAAAGAACCGTATTGGAACCGTATTGGATCCAAAAAGATCCGTATTGGAACCGTATTGGAACCGTATTGGAACCGTATTGGAACCGTATTAGATCAAAAAAGAACCGTATTGGAACCGTATTGGAACCGTATTGGAACCGTATTAGATAAAAAAAGAACCGTATTGGAACCGTATTAGATCAAAAAAAGAACCGTATTGGAACCGTATTAGATCAAAAAAAGAACCGTATTGGAACCGTATTGGAACCGTATTAGATCAAAAAAGAACCGTATTGGAACCGTATTGGAACCGTATTGGAACCGTATTAGATAAAAAAAGAACCGTATTGGAACCGTATTAGATCAAAAAAAGAACCGTATTGGAACCGTATTAGATCAAAAAAAGAACCGTATTGGAACCGTATTAGATCAAAAAAAGAACCGTATTGGAACCGTATTGGAACCGTATTGGAACCGTATTAGATCAAAAAAGAACCGTATTGGAACCGTATTGGATCCAAAAAGATCCGTATTGGAACCGTATTGGAACCTTATTGGAATCGTATTGGATCTAAAAAGAACCGTATTGGAACCGTATTGGATCCAAAAAGATCCGTGTTGGAACCCTATTGGAAGCGTATTGGAACCGTAATGGATCTAAAAAGAGCCGTATTGGAACCGCATTGGATCTAAAAAGAGCCATTTTGAAACCGTATTGGAACCGTATTTTCTTCAAAGTAATTTGATCACTTTTTTATTGAAGAGCCTTTAAAGAAGTTTTTGTTAATGAATAGGCATTGGTCTCTTTCAAAAAAGGTTCCCTTTCAAAAACCTAAAATGAATGCTGATCACTTTTTGAGTCACCAACCTTCCGGTATTTCTCAGCTGTAGACTTAAGCTCAGATTCTTTAAGCTCTTGAGGAGGTAAAGCTTGAGGAGGTAAAGCCTGGCCCAGGATTCGAAAGGGAATTTTCACAATGCGAAAAGAAGACATTTGTTCTTATGATTAAGGCAAAAATTAAATTAAAATTGTTTTTTTATAAAGATTTCTTTGCCAAAATTAAACTTTTTATGTAAATAACTGAATTTTTTTTAAAAAAAAATCGCTGTTTCGTCACTTTTTAGTCTAAAAAAAAACTAATTTTCACTGAAATTTTGTTATTTAGAAAACTTTCTATAGTTCTTATGATGTTCTTATGAAAGTTTAAAGTGTATTTGCCTTAAAAGTGCTACGATTATTTTTTGGCGGTCAAAACAAGAAGGACAAGTGCTGAAAGAGACCGAAAAACAACGTAAAAACAAACACTTTGAAAATTTTCCTCAGAAAATCTTCTCAATTTGATTTATTTGCTTAAAAATAAAGCGAAAAACATTGTATTTATTAGCTCTTTTAAATGATTTTATTTATTTATTGCTTTTTTAAAAAAAAAGATCTTTAAACAACTTTATAACTAAAGCCATAACCATCTTTAGGCCTTATATAAAGCGCTGCCTTATATACGCCTTATATAAAGCGCCTTATATACGCCTTTTATAAAGCGCTGCCTTATATACGCCTTATACAGGGTGGCTGAAAATTACGTGCGCCAAAGAAAACGCCATAATTTAATTTTCTTTCAAAGAACATGTAAAAATATTTATTTATATAATAGTTGTAACAAAAGCATTTAATAATTAAAAGAAATTTTGGAAGTGGCCTCCATTTCGCTTCAATTCGCTTCCATTCAAGCTTTAATAAAGGCTTCAATTCGCTTCCATTCAAGCTTTGATACAGGCTTCAATTCGCTTCCATTGAACCTTGATACAAGCTTCAACTCGCTTCCATTGAACCTTGATACAAGCTTCAACTCGCTTCCATTGAACCTTGATACAAGCTTCAACTCGCTTCCATTGAACCTTGATACAAGCTTCAACTCGCTTCCATTGAACCTTGATACAAGCTTCAACTCGCTTCCATTGAACCTTGATACAAGCTTCAACTCGCTTCCATTGAACCTTGATACAAGCTTCAACTCGCTTCCATTGAACCTTGATACAAGCTTCAACTCGCTTCCATTGAACCTTGATACAAGCTTCAACTCGCTTCTTTACAGAATCGACGGTGCAGCGGAGATAATTTGCATCTAAGTCGTTCCAGATTTTGATCAATTCTCGACGTAAATCATTCAAATTGTTGATTTTCCTATTTCTCAATTGTTCTTCCATAAAACCCCAGACCGAAAAGTCCAACGGATTGAGATCCGGACTGTTTGCAGGCCATTCCTTCGTCTCCGATCCTTCGCCAAAAAAGAGCCAATTTTGGTTTCGAGAAAGCGAATTGTTGTTTTGGCTCTGTGGGCCGGCGCCCAATCTTGGGCCAAATTGAAGGGCCAAATTGAAGGGCCAAATTGAAGGGCCAAATTGGGATGACTCCTCTTCCACGGCACCACAGCTTTCTCGAGAATCTCTTTGTATAAAGCGCCTTATATACGCCTTATCGCCTTTATAATTGCTTTTTAAAAAAAAAAGATATGATTAACTTTGTAAATAAAGCCATTTCAATATTTTAAAAGTTTTGATAACTTTTTTTTCAAAATCTAGAAAAACTACAAGAGCAACTAAACAAAACCTACAAAAAAAGCAACTTTAGAAATGCCTCAACGTCAATCGGATTTACAAAAGACTTTAGTTGGTCGAGTTTGAAAGTTTACTTAGAAATTTGCTATATTATGTTAGAAATTTAAAATTTTAAAGATATAAAAATCCCATTTTATATAGGGTTTTATACAGGGTTTCCTAAGAAACAAAGGTGGCCATCGATTTGAGTCTCGACACTTTTCTCGTTGATTCTTCAAGGCTTTCCCTAAGGCGTCACACGACGAGATCAAGCGCCGCCTTATATACGCCTTAAATAAAGCGCCACCAGGTGCCCCAGGCATTACACAACAAGATCAAGTCGATTTTTTTGATGATTTCGCGAAGGCTGGGGAGCTCAAAATCCACGTTTACATAAAAAATACTTTTGATTTCATCTATTTCAGCACAAATATATAAAGCGCCTTATATACGCCTTATATAAAGCGCTGTCTTATATACGAATTGGTCGCCTTATATACGCCTCATCTAAAGTGCCTTATATACGCCTTATCTATAAAGCGCTGCCTTATATACGCCTTATATAAAGTGTCGCCTTACAGACGCCTTATATAAAGCGCTGTCTTATATACGAATTGGTCGCCTTATATACGAATTGGTCGCCTTATATACGAATTGGTCGCCTTATATACGAATTGGTCGCCTTATATACGAATTGGTCGCTTTATATACGAATTGGTCGCCTTATTTACGAATTGGTCGCCTTACATACGAATTGGTCGCCTTATATACGAATTGGTCGCCTTATATACGAATTGATCGCCTTATATACGAATTGGTCGCCTTATATACGAATTGGTCGCCTTATATACGAATTGGTCGCCTTATATACGAATTGGTCGCCTTATATACGAATTGGTCGCCTTATATACGAATTGGTCGCCTTATATACGAATTGGTCGCCTTATATACGAATTGGTCGCCTTATATACAAATTGGTCGCCTTATATACGAATTGGTCGCCTTATATACGAATTGGTCGCCTTATATACGAATTGGTCGCCTTATATACAAATTGGTCGCCTTATATACGAATTGGTCGCCTTATATACGAATTGGTCGCTTTATATACGAATTGGTCGCCTTATTTACGAATTGGTCGCCTTATATACGAATTGGTCGCCTTATATACGAATTGGTCGCTTTATATACGAATTGGTCGCCTTATATACGAATTGGTCGCTTTATATACGAATTGGTCGCCTTATATACGAATTGGTCGCCTTATATACGAATTGGTCGCCTTATATACGAATTGGTCGCCTTATATACGAATTGGTCGCCTTATATACGAATTGGTCGCCTTATATACGAATTGGTCGCCTTATATACGAATTGGTCGCCTTATATACGAATTGGTCGCCTTATATACGAATTGGTCGCCTTATATACGAATTGGTCGCCTTATATACGAATTGGTCGCCTTATATACGAATTGGTCGCCTTATATACGAATTGGTCGCCTTATATACGCCTCATAAAAAGCACCTTATATACGCCTTATCTATAAAGCGCTGCCTTATATACGCTTTATGTAAAGCGCCGCCAAGCGCCTCAGGCGTCACATAACTAGATCAAGTTGCATTTTTTTTGATTTTTTAGTGTATAGGGTATGCTCATGCATCGAAAAACAAAATAAATTCATAGGACGAAAAAGTACAAAAGATTTGTGAAGAAATAGAGAAAATCAAAAGTATTTTTTATATAAACGTGGATTTTGAGCTCCCCAGCCTTCACGAAATCATCAAAAAATCAACTTGATCTTGTTATGTGACGCCTGAGGCGCTTGACGGCGCTTTATATAAGGCGTATATAAGGCGGCGCTTGATCTTGTTGTGTGACGCCTTAGGGAAAGCCTTGAAGAATCAACGACTGAAAAGACTCAAATCGATGATCACTTTTTTCTGGACATCCTGATCTTATAATCTCTAGCTACAGTAATTTCATTTTAAAGAAACTTTCAGCAAGGAGACCGCCAAAGCCTCTCCATGCAGTACCAGGGAAGTCACAGTGGTTGTCGATCAATGGACTCGATTCCAAGTGATGGACAACAAATTGTAAGTTTGAAAAACAAAACAACAACAACAACGACAAAAAGCTTTTGAAGCCTTTAATCTTTAAAGATCTTTAGAAAACTAGAAAAAGTCAGGGTGCGGTCCAGAAATCCTGGCTTTACTACTAACACTTTCCTGGATTTCTTTGAACTTAGATTTCTTTGAACTTAGAAGCCAGACCAAGCCAAAGTCGGTGTTGAGAAACTAAGCTTTTTCGGCTTGACAGGAGCCTGATCTGGGCAAGCCCTTAGTCATGGACAAAAGTCTTGAAAATGTAACAAAATGGCACGAAGATTTTGAATGGCTGCCAACCGATAGGCATCTGTGGCAATACAAGGCGACCAATTCGTATATAAGGCGACCAATTCGTATATAAAGCGACCAATTAGTATATAAAGCGACCAATTCGTATATAAGACGACCAATTCGTATGTAAGACGACCAATTCGTATATAAGGTGGCTAATTCGTATATAAAGCGACCAGTTCGTTTTTTAATTCGTATATAAGGCGGTTAATACGTATATAAGGCGACCAATACGTATATAAGGCGGCTAATTCGTATGCAAGACGACCAATTCATATATAAGGTGACCAATTCGTATATAAAGCGACCAATTCGTATATAAGGCGACCAATTCGTATATAAAGCGACCAGTTCGTTTTTTAATTCGTATATAAGGCGGTTAATACGTATATAAGGCGACCAATTCGTATATAAGGCAACCAATTCGTATATGAGGTGACCAATTCGTATATAAGGTGGCTA